TTTTTTTTTTTTTTTTTTTTACAAAAAGGCATACAATGAGACTAGCAATCTTAAGATAATGCACTTACAAAATCATCAGTAAAGTTTTCAAAGAGTTTATGAAAAGGACATTTTCCTCTGAAGTTAAAAAAGTGTCAGATGTGGATTTTTTGTCTAAAATAATGCAAATAGCCCCCAAATCTTTAAACATAGCGGTGCTAAGTTCTACCAGATAACACATTATGGAAAGTGCTGATATGAATTAATAATTTATTCAGTTATGATACAAGAGTTCTTGCTAAGTTATACATGTATATCACTGCCTGATTAGAAACCCCACTTTCTTTTCTAATCTAGCACAAAATCTGTGATTCTACAGCCAGTCTTTTTAATGGACAAAAATGACCCAACACGTTTGTTTTATATGGGAAACTTTTTTTTTTTTTTTTAACACTAACTTCTAAAGTGCTTAACAAAAGGTTTATTCAGGATAACTAAGCACGTATGTCCTTTTTAAACTTGCTGGAAGAGACTTACCCCTCCAATCTAGCATCCCAAAAAGACAACTTCTTTTAGGAACTGGGCATTCTAACTAAACATAGTAGCTTATATGTTAGCCAAGGTAGGTCTGCGCTAGTGTTTTCCACAACCATCATCTTAAGGGGTGATGTCCATCTACAGATAGTGGAAGCCACTTCATAGGGAAGTGTTATTATCGGCATGATTTCACTTTTGGTAACCAGGTAATCCTGTGTATATACCTAAGATTGGCTTCATTTTAATATATTCTCTCTGCTCCTCTGCACTTCAGGTCTTAAGCTATTTTAAAAATTGGGTTTTGGCAATCACCAACTGAAATGTTTATGGCAACTGCTTTCCTGAGCAAGCGTGATGTGTTTTATGGCTGTTCAAATTATCAAGTTGTTCTTATATTGTAGGTATACAAAAACCTTAACTGTTTTTAAAGGTCACTGTAACTTGAGGTTCAAATTTCTGGCACAATTTTATTTGTATTCACTTCTGAAGCTAAAAAGATACCACAGTTTTCTATGTTACTCTCATTGTAACATCAATAAAGTGACTTTCAATAAAAGATTTTATGTTATTTTGATGCCTGACTCCCTTTAATCCTGTTTTTTCTCCCGACCGTGGTTTCTTTTTCAGAAGCATGAGAAATACATAGATCCTGTAGCAAAGCCTGGTTGCTCACTTTGTTGGACAGTTTCCTCAGCTGAGTGACAGGTGGAGTCTCCTGTTATCCACTTGCCTTGCCTCATAAGCACTTCCTCTCTGACCCTAACATGGATCTGTTTCCTGAATCCTGACCCAGAGCCCGGGCAGTGGTGCTTATTTAATAGAATAAGTTCACCTGTGTTAGACTCTAAAGCATTGGGCCTTGGATGCACTTGGCTTAGGTTCAGGAGATTCACTGCCTAAAACACTGGTCCACCTAGCTGTTTGTCTCTCATAGAGCCATTTCATCCTCTGGTCTTAACCTTGACACCTGCTGTTTCCTTGCCTTCAGCTCACAGTCTGCTGAGGAAAAAAGTAGTTGTAAGTAGTCAGACTACTGGTTTTTTTAAATTATTATTTTTAATGTTTATTTTTGAGAGACAGCAGGAGCGCAGGAGGGACAGAGAGAGAGGGAGGGAGACACAGAATTTGAAGCAGGCTGCAGGCTCTGAGCTGTCAGCACAGAGTGCGATGCAGGGCTCGAACTCCTGGAGAGTGAGATCATGACCTCAGCATAAGTCAGACGCTTAACCAACTGAACCACCCAGGCACCCCCCAAAGTAGTTTTAACGTGAGAATAACAGAAGTCATTGACTAGAGTTTGTATGTTTATTAGATTAAAAAAATTTAGGATTACATATAGCTCCATTTCTTATATTTGTAATATTTTAGGCATAGAAGAATTCAGATGAACACTGAAACAGTAACACACTCAGGTGAGCAAAAGCAAAGTCTAGTTGGGATAGCACAAGTTTTAGCTCACATGCCTCTCATGGACAGACAGTACCACCTGGAGCATCATGCTGAAATGCAGTCTCACCTCCACTTTGGCTCAAAGGGAGAGAGGACTGTGGTTAATTATATAGGGCTGCTGTGGTATAAATCCGGCTTCTGCAGCCACATTCCAATGGAGTGCATCAAAACTGGTTACATATAGGTACTTTATAAATCATGAATCTCCTGAAACACAAGGCTAACTCACATTATCTCCAAAGAGGAGTTGGCATTTTTTGAGGAACTTCGTCTCTAAATAATTGAAGTAGTCCAGCTCGGGCTCACAGCTTGACCATACTCCAGCTAGATGCTTTTAAGAAGAACAGATCAAGAAACAGTTTTAAGAATTGGGTGAGACTACACTGGAAGTATATAGTGAATGAAACACAGAACCCAACATAAAATAGGAATAAGGCAACCCGAGATTCACTTGTAATGAAGACTTTGGCTGTAACTGAAGAACAACGGATGGATATGTCAAATTTGTCAAGGGGAAGGAAACGTTCTAACTGTGGGGACATACTGAAGATGAGGCTCCACACTTTTGGAAAGACACTATAAAAGCAGAAGTGGAAGAGATAAGGAGATTGCTACAAGGTATCAATAATTAAAACTGAAGTAATTGAATGTTTCAAGAGACACGGTTTTGCAATACTTGAGCATTTATCCAAAAAGCAAATTCAGAACCATGATTGATGCAGCACCCTGTGGGACTTACCAGAGCAGGAGGATAGTTCAAACATGGTCTGTAACTTTGGGCTAGTGTAGGCCTTCTTCCTTATCACATTAGGGTCACCCAGGAAATGACCATTTCCTTTAACTATCCCTTCCTCGTGGGATCCTAGTGAGTCTGAATCAAACAGCAGGCACTGGGGCTTTAACAATGAGTTCTCTGCCTCCTGGCCCTCTGACCCTTCTTTAGCCCTTTGCTAGAAAGTTCAGGCTCATGCCAAGCTTTATGGTCTCACAAACAGTGTATCTGGAGTGAAACCTAGAGACACTGTGTAATATAAAGCAGGCTGCCTCACATATGTAGTCCAGGTGGGAATACTTGACATACTTAAGGCTAAATATTTATAAATTTAATATATTTTAGCAATATTTGAAAAAATAACCAAGTGGAAATGAGGCTGAAGATGCTTAGAAATGTTTTCTCATTGGTGACAAATAATTGATCATCTGAATGGTAGCTATCACACTGGAGCCCTAAAATAAGACAGATATGCTGCTGGCAGGGAGAAAATAGGCCAACCGCATCATGTTTCACCTCTTGTGCTCTCTCGCAAAAAAGAGCAAACCAGACCAGCTTTAAATCCAAGAAACGGAAACTTTATTGGTGCTTATTAAACCAACGCACTTTTTCATGTTCAGAACTATCCCATGGAGTATTAATCTCCTTTGCAAAGATGGGGAAACTGAGGCTCTGAGATTATCTGAGATGATTAATTTACATATTCAGGAAGAGACACAGCCGGTATTGGACTCCAGATCCTACTTAAAAGCACGTGGTTTAGGGGCGCCTGGGTGGCGCAGTCGGTTAAGCGTCCGACTTCAGCCAGGTCACGATCTCGCGGTCCGTGAGTTCAAGCCCCGCATCAGGCTCTGGGCTGATGGCTCAGAGCCTGGAGCCTGTTTCCGATTCTGTGTCTCACTCTCTCTCTGCTCCTCCCCCGTTCATGCTCTGTCTCTCTCTGTCCCAAAAATAAATAAACGTTGAAAAAAAATAAAAAAAAAAAAAAGCACGTGGTTTAAAAATTAAAAAAAAAGTCTTCCATTATAAATGCAATACTTGCTTATCAGAGATTATTTGGAACAATAGTAAGAAGGAAGAAAATGAACTCATGACCCTGACTGCCAGTGGTAGCAACATCAATATCTTGGTCTCTCTTCCAGTCCTTTTTCTGTGTATATTTTATAATGTAAGTGTGAATGCGTGGCCTTTCAAAATGGATCTATCAATATTTTAAAAATTATCTTCTGATTTTAGAAGGAAAGCACACACATTATAGAAAACTTGGAAAATACTAAAATCTATCAAGGAAATTCAAGTCACCTAGAATCTCATAAGCCAAAAATGACCATAGTTAATATTTTCATATATTCTCTTAGGTTTCTTTCCATCAGTTTTCTTTTTTTACATAGTTAAGCCCATAATTTACAAGATTTTTAAGTGTAGTTAATAAAGGTCTAGGTGGATGATGACAAAAAAACTTGGTGACAGATAGTATTTGCCACTCAAATGGTTCAACAGGTGTTAAAGAGGCAGAAAATAATCACTCATGCTCCCTGTCCAATTGTGTGGCCATCAAAAATGTGTAAGCCTTAAAGCCTGTTCTTAAGTTTTCACTAAGGTGAAGCCTGACATGGATTATCATGGTTTTTCGTTGTTGTTTTTTTTTTCCTGCATCCAAGAGGGTATAAATCATTTACATGATAAGAATACTCCACACATAAGGCCTTCAATACCATGTAAAATCTCTTATCTAGGAAAGATAAGAACAATATAGTCTGATGGGAAGATTTTAAAGTATCTTACAATGAAAAATACATAATGTGCCTTAAACATTTTGCATGCTGAAATTTACATAAAAGAGGCTCAGCAACAAAATAAGGCATCACTGACAATGGCTCAACGAAGTTCTAAATGGTATAAGAGACCCGATCTTGTATTAGTAAAATTCCAAAGAATTTATTATCAATACTAAATACTTCAGTTGTACATAAAGTAATAAACCTTTATGACGGCCCTTAAGGAAAAGCAGTGATGCAAGTTACACACGTTACTGAAGGCAAAGGCAAAAGAGGACTCCAGTCGGAATGTCGGTTATGTTCATGCAGCTTCCTCTTGATTTAAACACTCATGACGCACTGAATGAACTGAAAGAGAGACCAAGTCCACGTTACCCTGCACACATTGTGGCACTGAATACACCCTAGCTTATTTTTCGGCAGTTTACATTTTGTTTTCCTAAACTGAATTATGGATCAAGAAACATCCATTTCTAAAATAAAAGTACATGATAGAAAGGTTCATGTTTGTAGGGGAAGCAGTCTAATAGAAAATCGAGTGGGTTTCTCTTCTTACAGAAAGCAGACTACTTCAATGGATAAAGAATATTTAAAATTCCAAATATCTCAGACTCTAGAAATGGTAATGGTCATGGTCATGGTAAAAGGTACCCACTCAGAAATAACAGTTGATACTGTTAAATCACCTGAGGACCTCCAAACTCCACAGTAGTACCCCACTGCTCTGGCACCAGCACCTTTTAAATAGGTTATGCCCTTAAAATCTGCTTAATTGCAAATAAATCCTAGCATGCAAGTATGTGTATACACAGAAACGGAATATATGACCTTTCCTCTGCAATTCAGAAACCCAAGTTGAGAGGCATCAGCATTTGCTGTGAAACGTTTGCTTCACCATAAACACCAACACTCTGCTTTTCTATCAATTTTCTTTCTCATTCTTCCGACACCAGTGAGGCACTGTGTATGCTAATCCCTACAGCATTCCTACAAGGCCAAGCTGATGATCACTTTCAGATAAAAGGGAACATTTAAAATCTCCTAAGGGCCCATCGGAGGCCAAAGTCCATGCACTTTCCATTCCATAGGCTGCTTTTCCATCTTTGGAAAGAATGACAGGACTGTCACCCGAGACACTGATACACACTAATGAAAACACACCTTTAAGCAGAAGAAATAAACATACTTACACATAAGCATTTTTAAATGATCTGAACTGTGGCAGCTGCCAAACTGAAAATATGTGCATCCTTGCATTTTGTAGCAGAGAAACCTTTTTTAGAACATTCAGTTATCACAGTGACTGCTATTCTGAAAGCAATTTTTTAAAGTCCATAGCTGACCAAAAAATAGAACAACTAAGCATCTCCCTAGTTATGTTATGTGTATTCAGCTAATGCCATCAGAGATGACAACTGGCTATGTTCACATTGGTTACATGGCCTTGCCTTGTCCTATCACATTTAGTGTGGCTGTTTAGTAAATACATTGTTTTAAATTGCAACTTAAGTTTGTGCTTTACAGCCTTAATGAAGAACATGGGTGTGTCAAGTACAGCTTGGAGTTGTTAAATTTACTTCTCAGTGACTGAGATATTTATTCAATGAAGCCAAAAATAGCAACATCTGCATGGTGTTTTCAGGGACATTTCTGATTGAAATCTCACAACAGCCCAGGGAAGAAGGCATTACTACTTCCTCTCCTCAAATAGTCTTGGAACAATGAAGAAACCTGCCTAAGTGACCCCACCAGCAAGTGAGACCAGTTGGGCTTTGAACCAAGTCTTTTAATGCGAATCAAACAGTGGTCTATGAGTAAGACTAATAATAAATGAAATTGATAAATTTTGAACGGTAACTCCTGATCATTTAATCCTTCATTACTCTGCATCCTTAAGATGCTCTTAATGGCTAACTTCAAAAGGGATGCCCAATTGTGAATTTACGGAGACTTACATCATCATATGGGAAATTCACAACACCTTGTTGAGCAGTATCCCGTCTTCGAAAGCTGTCTGTAAAACACCACAGTAAAATTTATGGTTATTTTTGTAACATCTGAAATCACAATAGTTACTTATTTTGGCATTGGGTTCAAACTGTAGAAACATGTGAGTTGTAAAACCAGCTAACATAAACAAAAGACCACAGCAAAGAAGCCAACTACAATGAACATGAATAAATTTAATAAACAACAAAGTAATACAACAATGTAGAAGTTAGTCAACTATCTTTTTCAATGTGCAGCTGGAAGAAAGCATCTTATCCCAAAGTCAGTAAAAGCCATGTGACCTCCAAGGCCATTACTTAGTTGTGATGAAAACACAGAATTTCAAACTTGTTAATAACATAGATAATGTTTAATTAGGAAATGGATAGATGGGAGTCCCTAATATGACAAACGGGCTGTAATAAAATATTTCACCTATCTGAGCTCTGTGCTATTGAAAAGAATTTACTTTAATAATCAAAAAGAATGAAATCTTGCTACCTGCAATGTGGATGGAACTAGAGTATATTATGCTAAGTGAAATAAGTCAGAGAAAGACAAATGTAATATGATTTTACACATATGTGGAATTTAAGAAACACAACAGATGAACATAGGGGAAAGGAAGGAAAAATAAGAAAAAAACAGAGAGGGAGGCAAACCATGAGACTCTTAAATACGGAGAACAAACTGAGGGTTGCTGCAGGAGAGATGGGTAGGGGGAATGGGCTACATGAGTGATGGGCATTAAGGAGGGCACTTGTTGGGATGAACACTGGGTGTCATATGTAAGTGACGAGTCACTAAATTCTACTCCTGAAACTACTACTACACTGTACGTTAACTAACTTGAATTTAAAATAAAAAAACTGACCTCAAATTTTTGTTAGGATGCAAAAAAAAAAAAAAAATTACAAAACCACATTTTAAAAAGAGTAAAAAAGACTAAAGACTGGAACAACAAAAATATACAAAAGAAAGAAAAAGAGGGGATAGAAAAGTAGAGATTACTAATATAGCCTCATCTAAGAAGTACGTTCTACCATTTAATATCACTACCATTTAAATGACTACCATTTAAAATTACTTTCCAACAAGAGGACTTAGGAAAGAGAGCTACAAGTGAGTAATTTTACTCTCTTCACATATTTACATTATAGGGAGAAATCACAGAATACTACTCATACTCTGATCAAAAGTGCACAAATTAGCTTATCATATTTTGGAATATTTTGTGAAAGTTAAGATTATTTTAATGGCAGATTACCACTAATCTGAAAGAATTTCTGAAAACAAAAAACACAATTACTCTGCTAGATAGGTTTAATAGCAGTGTTAAAAAAGCCATTGAAATGGGGGGGGGGGTGGAAAGAGTGATCAGGGACGAAAGAAGTTCAGAACACTGAAAATGAAATGTCATGCAAATTGTGTCTTCTTGGCCCTTGGAGATACACCGATCTCAAAGAACACACCTGTCAGAGCTCGCAGTTTCACACAGCAGGCGATGTAGTCATCAAAGGTGATCTTGCCATTGGTGCTGTATCGTTTTGCAATAGAATTCACAGCTTGGGGACTCAACCGAAATCCTGAAGGAAGGAAAATCACCCAGTGAAAAAAATAACGTGAAAGGATTACAAGAAGACCGTTGAAAATAATCAAGCACAATTTTTTTCAGACTGGGGGCACACTCATTTTAATTACGAATACACACTAGCAACTATGTATTATGTATTTAATTATGAATATACACTTCTTCTAGAAATCAGAAACTGCCTTCCCACAGCACTTAGTTTTAGAAATTAACACAGAATTATGCCGACCAGGTGGCTCAAGTTAGCCATACCCACCCATTGTGGTTAGGGCCTTCTGCAGTTCTTGAGGGTCCACTGTTCCACTCCTGTCACTGTCAAAACTGGTGAAGTGTTGTCTCCAGCCGTTCAGCACGGCCCAGAGTTCTTTAAATTCATTGAAACCCATTGTGCCTGACATATCTCTCTGAATTATAATCAAGGATTAGAGTACCTTTATTTTGCAACATTTTGTAACGGTTCAAGATCAAGGATAAGGGAATATAATGATCTTTCTGCTAAAAAGGTTAAAAATGTTGTATGTTCTTCTTAGTGTGATATAATAAAAACATACTCCAATAAGATAATAAGAAGGGCCTAGGGAGAAAAGCTGAGTACATATTTCCACTGTGGGGAAAAAGATAATCTATGTGAGGTGATTACAATGAAATAACGTGGCCACTGTGAGCCACATGTAAAAAACAAGAGTTCCTGGAACTGTGCCGCACTTTCTTGGCGCCCCAGGCGATGCTGCTAGGGTCCTGGGGTCTTGGCTTTAACATTCCTTTGCTGGGCCCTTCCAGACCCAGGGTTTTCACTTTTGGAAAATGAGGTGGGATGAAAGGCACTGCAGGGTCACCAATAGCTAACCTGAGTGCAGTAACTGTGATGTGAGAAATTCCACCGCCTGAAGGTCAGGTGTGAATCATGCATAGCTCACTGTTAAAGCAAAATACCTTGCCAGACCACTCTGATTTCTATAGGTGTTCTCTGATGCTTCCTTGAATTCTTGAGGAACCAACATTCTATTTACTGAGCTCCTTTCCTTTTTCACACCAAACTACATCTTAAAAGCTAATGATTTCAGAAAACTTTTTTTGTGGTCATCTGTCACCTTGTGTTTACTGGGTATTAATTCCTAGATAAATTCTTTTAGGAAGAATTTTTTTGGGGGTGGGGGGAGGGTGATCAGAAAAAAACACTCTAGACATCAATCAAAGTAAAGGATACATCCAGCATTGACACCATAAGCCGACAAGTCTCCAGGTTAAAAGCTGTTAAATCAAAAAAAGCACATAATAGTTTCAAAAATTCATATTATATTGCATACATTCAAATTAATTAGGAAAATGACTATTTATTTACACAATCTTATTTTTATACGCTAAACAACATGGGAATTTTGAAGCAGATTTTTTCCAGATAGAGGGGATTCCTTGCAGAACCCAAATTTGATTTTAATACTTTAATAGAAATCTTTTAAAAAAAAGTATTGCATTGTACTATTAATATTTTTAGGTATGATAATGGCTTTGAAGTTGGTGAGGGAAATGTCCTTATCTTTTAGAAAAGTATATACTGAAGTTATTTGTAGATGAAATGAATGTTAAGATATCTGGAATGAGCTTCAAAAGAAAACAGACAGGATTACACATGAACTAAGAATAACAACACACTGATAATTGTTGAAGCTGGGTGACAGGTGCATGGAAGTTCGTAATAATTATCTCTGTTCTTAGATAGGCATACATTTTCTATAATACAGTCTTAAAATAAATTTTTTTTACCATTTATTTTTTTTTGAGAGACAGAGAGAGCCAGAGCACGAGCGGGGGAAGGACAGAGAGAGGAAGACACAGAATCTGAAACACGCTCCAGGCTCTGAGCTATCAGCACAGAGCCTAAAACGGGGCTCGACCCCACGAACTGTGAGATCATGACTTGAGCCGAAGTCGGACACTTAGCCAATTGAGCCACTCAGGTGCCGCTAATATAGTCTTTTTAAAAAAGTTTTATATACTTTTTTGCTTTTGAAACTGTAATATAGTGAGTTTAATTCACCATAATAAACCATAATTTATTATATTCACCATGGTGAGTGGGAAGATAGGGTTACTACATTTCTACTCCTGACTATCAATTGCTGGTTTTGTTTGTTCTGTGTCACTAGTTCATTTGTTTACCTTTCTTTCCCCTTTAATGTCACACACTGAACTACCTCCTACCTCATATAGCTTATGACACCTTTTTATATACAGTAAGTTTATATACGAAACCAGATAAATATGCTTGCTAGAACAGTGTTAAGTAAGAGCACTCTGGAATACGATATAATGACCAATTCAGTGATGACCACGATTCGGAAGCCTTTTGAGTTTTTGTACAGCTTGAATATATTCTGAGGACATTTCTATACGACACTTAGAAAAATACACTAGAATATATTTACTAGTTAATGGGCCTACTGATGACCTACCTAAGCATTAGCAAATATAAAGAAAAAATTCCTTGCATCTTCCATTCTGTTCATGAGAATCAATGACTGGGGAAATATATAGGTACAAAGAAGCTAGAAGGCTAGAAGGCAGAAGGGACAAAGGTCAGGTGGGCAAAGCTGGCATAAATTCTGCAAGTTTGTTGAGAGGCACACAGAACTAACATTTTTACAGCTCTTACTAGCTTCATTTTTATCTCCAACAAACTGAATTTCAAATACATCTGAGCTAACTCTCAGTACTGTAGTGTTTCCAAATAGTATAAACTATAAATTGTCCACTTTTAACAGATTCCTGTGTTTGGCATACTCTGGAACATGAAATAAAAGGTGGAGGACTATCTCTGTTTTGGCCCTTCAAACTCCATCTAATCCACAGATACAGGTCTCTGAGGTGACAGGAAGCAACACTTCTACACACTTTTGAGAAAGAGTTGGTTGATTCTTCATTCTGACTTTTAAGTTGTGTGGAGGCACGAAGTCTCTCTGATCTAGACCAATGGTTTTCAATCTCAGGTGCTTATCAGAATCACCCAAAAGCTTTAAAAGATCCTAATACTGGGGCTGCACCACAGAACAGTTATTTTCCCCTCAGTGTTACGGAGATATAATTAACAAATAACATTCTGTAAGTTTAAGGTGTATAATGTAATGATCTCATATAAGCACATACTGCAGAATGATAACCATAAGTAGGTTATTTAACACATCCATCACCTCACATAGTTAACTTTTTTGTCTGTGTGATGAGAACTTTTAAGATCAACTCTCTTAGCTATTTTCTAGTATACAATACAGTATTGTCACCATCACCACAGAGCAATTAAATGAGAATCCCTGAGCATGGAACCAAGGCATGACTGTTTTTTTTTAAAGCTTCTCAATGATTCCAGTGAGCAGCCAAGGTTGTGACCACTGTTCTTCTCAACATGTGATTCCTGGACCAGCCATGTTATCATCATCTGGGACCTTTTAGAATTACAGAATCTTGGCCTTTAACCTACACCAAAAAAATCAGAATCTGCATTTAAATAAGATCCCCAGGTGATTTATTTTCACATAAAAACAGCTGGTGGACCTGGACCACCTGAATCTTCTGGAAGCTTGTTACAGATGCAAATTCTCCGGTCTTACCTCAGACTTCTAAATGAAAAATTCTAGGACAGGGCCCAGCAATCCAGTGATGCTGACACAGCTCAAGTTTAGGAACCAGTGCTCTAGAGGGCCTGTCAACCAAGAGGCAGATCCACTTGTGTCTGACTTTAAGTCAAGGATTTTGAGGGGCTGTAAGGCAGACAGCTTCCCTGTGTCCCAAGTGCTACAAGTAACATCTCCATCCACTCAGTCACCCAAGCCAGAAACCAGGGAGTGTCCCCAGTTCCCTGTCCCCTGATATTCAATCACCTTCTTCTTCTTCTTTTTTTAATGTTTATTTTTGAGAGAGAGAGACAGAGCACAAGGTGGGAAGAGGCAGAGAGAGAGAGAGAGGGAGGCACAGAATCTGAAGCAGGTTCTGAGCTGTCAGCACAGAGCATGATGTGGGGATCAAACTCACAAACTGCGAGATCATGACCTGAGCTGAAGTCGGACGCTCAACCGACTGAATCACCCAGGCGCCCCTCAGTCGCCTTCTAAATTGCTTTAGGACCTATCCATTTCCAGTTCCACAATCACTTCCCTGGTTTAGGAAGTATTTTACTCATCTGATGACTTCAATGGCCACCTGACAGGTGTCCCTGAGTCCCCGTGCTCCACACCCCCCATACCCATGCCCCCCAATTTGGTTTTTATGCTACATCCAGAACAGTATGTGCTCTTCTATACAAAACCCAGTAGACATGTTCCACTGCTGTCAGGATGAAGTCCAAGCACCTAAGTGGCATATGAAGTCATATGCATATATTCCCAGTCCAGCTAATTTCCTGCTCTTTATTCAACCTTCACATTCCATCTTCACGGCCAATTTCTCCCAGTTCTTTGACTGCACATGCACATGTTTCCCCTTACCTGTGGGTCTTTAGTACATGCTGTTCTATCTGCCTGGGGCACTTTAAAACTGCCCTTTATCCCTCTCACTTCTTGGTCTGCCTGGTTTCTGCTTGACTTTCATTTCCCCTCAGTTTGGCATCAGTTCTGCCAGGAAAACTATCCTGACCACTTTCTGGGTTATGTGCCTCTCCTATGTGGGCTCACAGCCTCTCTACTTCACTTATCCCAGCACTTTTCACTGTGTCCCACAGGCACCACTTGTGGGTGCACAGCCTGGCACCTTGCACATGATGATATCCATTAAAATGTGTTGGTTAGATGGCTGAATAGATAGGACCCCTCATCCCTGTGTAGACAGCTATACACTCCCCTCAACCAGTATACGCAGGATAGGTTTTTAAAAATAAAATCTCATTTTTATGGATACTTAAAAGGACTGTATAATCCCTTAAGACAAATCATAAGTCAAAATACCAATAAGGGTACAGAGCTATGCTTTCTCCATTTTAGGAAATCTTCCATACTCATTAATTCAACAAATGCCTGTTAAGTACTCATTATGTACAGGGCCCAGGATACCAAGAACATTGGAGATACAAATTAAAACTGGATCCTGCCCTAGCTGACAGTCTAAGGAAAAGAGAAGTCATGCATGCATGCAACTTTAATCAAGGTAGAGAGTGGTGAACCATAACGGAGACAGTAAGCAGTACCAGGAAGTACTGAGGAGCAGGAGGCTCCTTCCTACTAAGAAGCACTTCACAGAAGCAGCAGCATTTAAGTCAAGCCTTGAATGACAGGAAAGATGAGGGACATTTGGGGACAGTTAAGTAGAGCTATGGACCAGTATAAGCAAAGTGAATCAGGAAAGTTCAGGCCAAGCAAAGTAAGTGGGAGGAAGTATGTTTGATGAGGCTACATTAGAAGATCTTGAATTCCTACTAAGGTGTTTAGGTTTTGTTTTACAGGTACCAAGGAGCTACCAAAGAATTTTAGAAGAAGAAACTAACAGGTTAGAGGATGTGTCAGGAAGCCCAAAAATCTGGTCATCTTTTGTGAGAAGGGTTTAAAAGAGGGAACGTGATGGGCAGGCAACAAAAGTGAATGACAGAAAATTCACTATTCCAGACAGTTCTAATGTAACTAGAACACTGATGTCACAGAAGTTTGGGTAGGGAAAACTCTTGCTCAATTTTAATTTTATTTTTCTCCAGAAATAGTTTGCTTTTATTTATTAAAATTTACTTTGAGAGCACACGTGCACACCCAGCACGTGTGAGCAGGGGAGAGGCAAAGAAAGAGGGAGACAAGGGAATCCGAAGCAGGTTCTGTGCTGTTAAGTGCAGAGCCCTACACGGGGCTCAAACTCACGAACTGTGAGATCGTGACCTGAGCCGAAACCAAGGGTTGGATGCTTAACCTACTGAGCCACCTAGGTGTCCCAAGAAATAGCTTTTACTAGTGCTATTCTATTTTAAATAGCTTCAAGAGTCTTTGATCATTTTATTTTTACTCTCTCCCTTCTCCTGTTCATTCTACTAAAATGCCTCATACATCTTTTCTTCTAGTAGAAATCCAAAATGTAATGGACCTAGCAGGAAAACATTACCTTCAGTTGTTTCTCTCAGCCTTACCATAGAGTAACAGCTACACTCAAGGGGGAAAAAAAGAAGCTGAATTACTATCTTACAGACTAGAGCAACGTCTCTTATCAACTCCACTTCTGAGTATGACCGGTTCCTTTTAAGCTGGAGAAGATGACTGTAGGAACTAGGCTGGAATACTCTCTGTTCCTCATTCCACCTCCACCTGTACTTTTTGGTTTGGAAGCTGGGTTTAAAAAACACCAATGGCTGTATAATTTCTGTATCATGAAACTCACTGTGACACTTCACAAGCAGGATGGTTTTGTGATTTATTACAGCCTCCACAACCAGAGGATGGTAAGCAAATTAATTCAATCACATGGCTCTGATGACTCAGGAAATGTCTTCCCTATAACTCACTGCTCTAAGGCCATCACTAAACATGATTTTCTCACACGAAATTAAAAAAAATTTTTTTTAAGTTTATTTATTTTGAGAGAGAGTGAGAACATGAACAGGGGAGGGGCAGAGAGAGGGAGAGAGAATTCTAAGCAGGCTCTGCACTATCAGCACAGAAACTATGCATGGCTCAAACCCACGAACCATGAGACCATGACCTGAGCTGAAACCAAGAGTCGGATGCTTAACTGACAAGAGCCACCCAGGCGCCTCCTCATATGAAATTTTTAAAAGGACTGTTCTCCCAGGATACACAGCCCATTTGTTAGTCAGATTTTAAAACCTGCCACACCTCTTCTACCGAAAGGGTACAGAGTAATAGTTTATGTTGCTACACAGCTCACTTTCATAAACCCTATTAAACCTGCTATGTTCACTAGCCCCAACTGCTTGAGGTTAACATTTAACACTTTAAATGTATTCCCTACAACACTTAAAAAAAAAAAAATTCCCAAATCTAGAAAGTGCTTCTTTTGTTTAGGACCAGATTAAATGAGAAATGCAAACGGTTCCTCTTTCATATTAATTCCTCCAACTAGGAAATATTGTTAATAGGATACTTAAGTCATATAATACAAAGGATAAAAATAGAAATGCAAATAGTTTAAGAAGAGAGCCATCTAGTAAATATGCCATGTCAAACAGTCAAAGAAAATGCGACTATAAATCTTCATGTGTGACTTCTAGCTCGAGCATTTTATTTTTAAAGTTTATTTATTTATTTTGAGAGAGACAGATCACGCAGTAGGGGCAAAGAGAGAGAATTCCAAGCAGGCTCTGCACTGTCAGCATAGAACCTGACGCAGGGCTCGAACTCACAAACCAACAGATCATGACCTGAGCCAAAACCAAGAGTCAGACGTTTAGCCAACTGAGCCACTCAGGCACCCCTGTAGTTTGAGTATTTTAATTCACAATTTACCAACAGCTAAGGCTCTGATTTGATGTTTTGTCCCCATTAACAACAGGCAAAGAAATTAGCAAGTCAAGACACTACTTTCTACCTTATGGATCTGTCAGGGTCAGGATCCGATTGGAAAAGAAGCAAGTAGGATGTACATGGGATGATGAGAGGCACTGATAAGATGCAGTACTTCTGCAATCATTCCCCATCTGTAGCTCGTGGCAAAGAGCTCTTTCAAAAGGCAGGAAGGTGGTGTAAGCACTGAATTATAAGGTGGCAGAACTGAGGACGAGGGCAGAAGGAAGACTAGTGCAAAGAGTTAAGAAATTAGGAAGGGCACTTCCAACATAGCCTGCCCACATTCTCTGAAGCAGAAAGAAATGAAGAAAGACCTGGGGGATGTCATGGCAAGCGCTCATGTTGCCAGCAGCATGCTCAGAGCCCATGAATGCAGAACCGGTTTCCTGAGGACCAGGGGTGGGGACCAGCCACTGCGGGGAACGCGGGACAGGAATGACCACTCAGAACTAGGAGTGCAGGACAGGCCATTTGGGGAGCAGCTGCACAGGACCAGGCACTCAAAGTCCTAAGTGCCATCAGCCTCAGGATAGTCAACTCTTGGCAAATGGTCAGTTGTAAATGTTAGCTCCTGCCATTAATGACACCTGACCTAGCAGATTTCATTTCAGCACCTCACCTCGTCCTCTGTGAAGGAGACCACGCTGCCCATCTCATTGCTTCCAAAGGTTCCAAATCCAATGGACCCGCTAAACGGGCAGGTAGTGTAGAATGATTTATTAACAGCTGTTTTCAAATTCACATTTTGTGATAATAAACAACCAAAATTAGCTTTTGAAATTCTAAATTATGCTGGATCAGCAAAGCCCAATTTCCTTGGAGGCTATAATCATAAGGAAGTTAAAATACGAAACAGAAGAGTACTGTGGGATTGTCAACTTACGTTTGTATCCTCCAGCAATGCCTGACTGTGTCAGACATCTCTGCAATTCATCAGCATCTATCTGCCCATCCTTTTGAAAAAAAAAAAAAAAAAATAGGAAGACAAATTACAATAATGATTTGTACCTTCTAGTTCTTTGTTTACTTTCAGTATATTATTTTAGCAATGACAAAGAAAATGAGCATGTTCATGCGTAAGACCTTTTTTTTTTTTTTGGAAAAAAGAATGCCTTCCAAACATAGGCATTCCTTTCCCAATTCTACTTTCAAAAATAATAATGAAAGAGAAACAAATAGTTAAGTCCTCTTCCACAAATGCATACTTAGGGCCATAAACAAACAAACAAAATACATTTCGTGATACTTAAGTGGGCATTCAATTTCAGACTCTATTTTAAATAATTATTACATACGAATTCACAAGGTTGGAAAGCTGCTTACACCTCTACTTTAGTATTAACATTATCTTCTCATCATTCCTCTAAGTTCCTCAATTAGATTTGGGATTAAATTTTCAAGCGGAAGGTTGGTCTTTTTAATGAAACACTGAGGTAAATTCAGTTTCTTCTGATACACAAGTTTTTTTTTAATGTGTGAATGAAATTAGTTTCTGTCTTGAACTACTCTTCTTTTAGTCTGAGCTAGGAAACTGCCATTTAAGCATTTAAAATTATTTATATAGTTGCTTTAAAGTCTTATTCCTCTTTCTAGCTATTTTTTTGTGGGGGGCGGGGGTGGTAAAGGCATAGCAGCATACAAATCTAACATCCATGAATAAAAAGTCTGGATAAAACAGAGGCCTTTGTGATCACCTTGGTTTATGATGAGGTGAATGGTTTTTTTCAGAACTACAATTATATCTGGAAGATACAGGTTCCCAGTGCCTATTTATTGGCTAACCAAGTTCACAACTAGATATATGTTGTTTTTAGGGATTTAAAAATAAAATACCTAAATCCCTCACGTCCATGAGGATCGTAACTTCTAAGTGCAGAGCAGGATCAATAATTTGAAAGACAATGGCTATGCTGATGTAGGGGTAGGCCCAGGCTGCTGCAAGAGAAGCAGGTGGGGTCACTTACAGGGCTGGAGGCACAGGCAATCTAAGAACACAAGTCTTGAGCTTTGCCCTGTCTTGTGGTTTCAGAGATACAGATCATTAACTGATTAAGCAGATACTTAAAGGAAAGCTCTTTCGGTTTTGGACTCAATTTTCCATTCAATTTCTTGAGGTATAGTTCTTAGAATGCTTTTCTGCAAGGCGGTCTTGAATTTTTATCCCACAATTTTCTACAGCTTCTTCACATTAAGACTGTGCTGTTTCTTGCTTTTGATCAAAACAAAGGTAAATGCCAAGACAAAAGAGCAAACATCCCTTCTGGAGAGGACTGGGTTCTACCAGCAGTGAATTTACCATACACAGTGGCGTGGTGAGCTAGGGAAGTGTCCTTCCTCAATGTACACCACCGCCTGTCCTACCACACAATATAGAGAAGTCAAAGGTCTCCAGGAGCCCACTTAATTCTCTCTCTGGGTCAACAAGCCACAACACCTTATACGGACATGGAAGAGCTGACCTAGTAACAGCATCAGCATCAAAGAGAAAGTAAACTGTGCACAAGATTCACTTCCTGATAGTAAGGGAATAGTAAGTAACTTTCTTATGTTGAAGCTGGTAAGTTTTTAACATAAGTACCTATTTCCTCAGGGGGTAATTGATTAACAAATTCAATCCAAAGAAAGCGTCTATTAGAATCTGACTACATGATTACTGGCACATGTCTGTAAACCGTACTAACAAGGGTTTGTGTTCACCAGATCTGGAATTTATTCTCTGTAAACCACCATGGACCCTGACAATTCATCGTTCTAAAAACATCTTCCTACTTTACAGATCCTCACAGTACATTTATTGCCCTTTATTTTGTTCATTCTGGCATTAATTCAATCACAAATTTAGTCTTGAAGTGAACTAACATAAATACAGGTAACACTTTGTCCTAATTTGTTCTGAATATGCAGAAATAAGTAACTGACTATAAACTTCATTCTTTCTCTCTTCTTTTCTTTCCACAAGCAAAGGGATTCTTTTCCAGAGGAGAGTTCTTTTTTCCATGCCACTCTAACAACAGCTAATACAAATGAAGACTCTGACGATTCTTTAATATTAACGGAAAAAGCTAACCTGTCCTGCTACAGCAGCAAAGTAACCATACAGTGGATCCTGAGTTTGTCCGGGAAACGTAGGCCCTCCGGGAGCCCCTCCATACTGTAAAACAACAAACACAAAAGCATCATCCCACTGAATCCAGTGTTATTCTTTCACCACTGAATGCCTTTGTGCAAAGCTAGGCAAATGCCGGCCCTTCACATCCATGGTTCACTTCCCCACCACCAGCACGCTCTAACTGCAATCATCCCACCCCTTTTCTTTCATTCCCGCTCCATCACAGTGTAAAAACTGGCAGCTTGGACCAAAATGAGAGGTCCCGAATAGTGACATCTGCATGAGCGAAGCAACTTTCAAAATCCCAATTAACCTGCAGGTTACTGATTAAATGCAGCCTAGGCAAGCAACTTAAGGGCAGAGCTCGGAATTGTCTTCCTTTTCCTTTTACAACGATTATGGTGTTTTGAAGCATTTTGAGACAGGTGTAGCCTAGGCCGTGCTTAGGTGTCTCGGTTAGGCTATTTGGCGGCGAGCACCTGGGCGAGGAGGCGCGGCGAAGGAACATTCCTTTTCAGAAACAGTTCCCACGACGACGCACATCCCAGGCGCCCAGCGAGGCGGCCTTCCTCCCGGAAGGCTTTTACTCTAGCGGCCTTTCTTTCCCCAACTTCTCTTTTAATCCTACTTTCTTTTAAAGATGGGAGGTGGATCCCCGGGCCATTCGAGATTAAAATGGCTGTTGCTCTCAGGGGAAACCCGGAGGGGAAGGAAGCGAATTTGCACAATTTCACGCCGCGTGTCCCGAAGTCACAGGGTGGGCTTCTTGGATCAAAGCCCACCCGCGCCTCGGCCCCACGCAGCCACCCGCAGGGCGAAGGGACGCGGAGAAGGAGGGAGCCCCAGGATGAGGCCGAAAGGCAGCGGCCTGGGGCGAGGCAGCGGGCAGGGAGAAGCCCGGGGTAGGGGCGGGAGGCTCCCGCGGAGCCGCCCCGCGGAGTTGCCCAGCGTAGCTTCTCGGCGTCCGCGGTGTCCCAGGGTTGCGCCCGGGCCACCAGCCCGCGCGGGCTGCACTTACCCCGCCTGGGTAGTACCCGCCGCCGGCGCCTGGGTGCCCGGGGTACGCCATGGTGCAGACTGCGCCGCCGCCACCGCCACCGCCCTCACCCTCCCGCCGGGGCCGCCCCGGAACGCACCATGCGGGCAGCGGGGGACGCGCGCCGGAGCCCCCTCCCGCTCGGCGCTCAGCTCCCGCCTCAGCCCTCTGCGCGCGCACCGCGTGGCTCCGCGCTTCCTGTGCCGGGGTCGCGCCCAAGCCAGGTTCCCGCAAGTGCCTGGGACCTGCGACGCAGTTCATGCCGGTGGCATTCCTCCCTGCGAAACGAATGGCACATTCCAACACCAGTACGGTGCCTCGGGGGTTATTTTTTCCTAACTCGTCTATATTCTGATACTTTTGAACATTTTAACCAACTTCGTTAGTCTGGGCCGCCCGGCTCTAAGCGGAGTGTAGTTTTGCAGGGAAGGAGCTGGATGCTTTAGGACAGCTCTTAGATGCCTGTGAGGGAAGGAGACATTGGAAAATCAAAATAAGAAAACGCCCTTGGAAAACAGGAATAAACTTCAGGAACTGTGTGCAAGCGAGCCTTTGGTTTGCGGTTGCACATTTCACTGAACACCGGCCTGTTTTCTTGCTAGGGGACGCGGTCAACTCTTGGTTAAGCTGGGTGTCATATGGCCTGGGAAGGACGGAGGGCATTGACTGGCAAGGCAACCCCGCCCAGGTTCTTAGAAAATGAGTTGTTTGAATTATCTCGATGATTCAGGCGAAACAATTCCCCCTTCTCTAAAATTACTCAGCCACTTTGTATACAAGAAAAGTTTAGGGCAAGCTAAGAGTGCCCTGGTAAATATTCAGGAAGGTGAAAGGTTAGAACTATTCTTTTAGGCAGATTCAGGAAATGGTTCTCTTCATGCATTTTTCTTTTCACCCTCGTTGAACAGTCTGATGTGAGCAATTCAGGGGTGAGATTTTTTTTTTTTTTTTTGGTTTGGTTTCATGTAATTTCAGTCATGAATGTTTTTCTGAATTTGAACGTTTTAAGAAATGCACTGATGAGCAACATTCACATTATTTGCTACGGAGGCTGCACTGAAAAATTGAGTCATAAACATTTAACAAATGTTGGAGCACCTGTTGAGTGTGGTGACGTGCTGTTCACCATGGTGGACAGGGTTCCTCCATTCCAAGTTTCCGGGCTGTGTTCCCACTAGGGTCATTGTTTTCTTCTAATGTATAACTCTCTTCCAAGTCCTCTTTTTGGCTGCTCAAACTCCAAAGATGGTAAGTCCTGAGTTGTGAGAACAACTTTAATAGTCCCTGTTGTTACCTATCAAATTAACTATATATTACCTGTTTAATGTTTGATTTAGGAAGTAGATTACTGTTTTCAAATTCCAAAGCTATTATCGAGGTAGATTAGGCAATTTTTGAGTCCTTGGCCTCTGCGGAGTTTTCTTTTTTCTTATTTTTTTCCTTTTGTGTGGTAAGAACAATGAACAGGAGATCTACCCTCTTAACAAATGTTTAAGTGTACAATACAGTGTTGTTAACTATATGCACAGTGTTATACAGCAGTTCTCCAGGACTTTTTATCCTGTGTGACTGAAAATCTGTACCTATTAACATCTACTCCCCATTTGCTCCTTCTTCCAGCCCCTCAAAACCAGCATTGTTTGTTTCTATGAGATTGATTACCTCAGATACCTCAATAGTTACAATAATGAAGTATTTGTCTTTTTGTGATTGGCTTATTTCACCTAGCATAACGTCCTTGAAATTTGTCCATGTTGTAGCATATGACACGATTTCCTTCTTTTTAAGTCTGGATAAAATTGTATTACATGTATATGCCACATTTTAAATTCATTCATCCATAGATGGACATTTGGGTTGCTTCTGCATCTTGGTTATTGCAAATAATTCTGTGATGAACATGGCTGTGTAAATAGCTCTTTGAAATCCTCTTTTCTTTAAAAAAAAAAATTTAATGTTTATTTATTTTTGAGAGACAGAGAGAGAACACTAGCACGGGAAGGGCAGAGAAACAGGGAGACACAGAATCCAAAGAAGGCTCCAAGCTTTGAGCTGTCAGCACAGAGCCCAAAGTGGGGCTTGAACCCTCAAACCATGAGATCATGGCCGAAACGATGGGAAGTCAGACACTCAATTGATTTAGTCACCCAGGCACCCCTGGATCATATGGTAGTTTTATTTTAAATTTAAATTTAGTTTAATTGAGGAACCTCAATACCGTTTTACATAGTGGATATACCATTTTGCATTCCCATCAACAATATGCAAGAATTCCAATTATTTCACATACTTACCAACACTTATTGTCTGGCCAGGTGGGGGTTCCTAATAGTGGAGGTGTGAAGTGATAGCTCAGTGTGGTATTTCCCTGATAATTAGTAGCATTGAGCACTTTTTCATGTACTTGTATACTTTCCTTGGAGAAATATTTAATTATTTAGCCCATTAAAAATTTTTAAGGGGCGCCTGGGTGGCGCAGTCGGTTAAGCGTCCGACTTCAGCCAGGTCACGATCTCGCGGTCCGTGAGTTCGAGCCCCGCGTCAGGCTCTGGGCTGATGGCTCAGAGCCTGGAGCCTGTTTCTGATTCTGTGTCTCCCTCTCTCTCTGCCCCTCCCCCGTTCATGCTCTGTCTCTCTCTGTCCCAAAAAAATAAATAAACGTTAAAAAAAAAATTTAAAAATTTTAAATCCAGTATGCTTAAATTAGTTTATATTAGTTATATTAGCTTCAGATGTACAATATAGTGATTCAGCAGTTCTATACTCAGTGCTAATAATGATAAGTGTACTCCTAATCCTCTTCACCTATTTCACCCATCCCCCACCCATCTCCCAACTTGTTCTCTATAGTTAAGGATCTGTTTTTTGGTTTGTGTCTTTTTTCCTTTGTTCATTTGTTTTGTTTCTTAAATTCCACATATAAAAAATCATACGGTATTTGTCTTTCTCTGACTTATTTCACTTAGTGTAATACTTTCTACCTCCATCCGTGTTGTTCCAAATGGCCAGATTTCATTCTCTTTTAAGGTTAAGTAATATCCCATTGTATATATATACTACATCTTCTTTATCCATTCGTCCTTCTTGTGGACACTTGTGTTGCTTCCATAATTTGGCTGTTGTAAATAATGCTGTAATAAACACAGGGGTGCAAATATCTTTTTAAATTAGTGCTTTCATATTCTTTGGGTAAGTATCCAGTAGTGGAGTTATTGGCTCATTAGGTAGCTCTATTTTTAATTTTTTGAGCGACCTGCATACTATTTTCCACAGTGGCTGCACCAGTTTGTATTCCCACCAACAGGGTAAGAGGGTTCCTTTTTCTCCACATCCTTACCAGCACCTATTGTTTCTTATGTTTTTGATTTTAGCCATTCTGACAGGTGTGAGGTGATATCTCATTGTGGTTTTGATTTGCATTTTCCTGATGACCATTAATGTTGAACACCTTTTCATGTTTCTGTTGGCTTCTTTAGCCCATTATCAATGTGGGTTATTAGTTTTTTGCTGTTGTAAAAATTCCTTATATATTTTGAAAGCTAACTCCTTATCAGGTATGTGGTTTGCACATTTTTATCCCATTCCATGGTTTGCCTTTTCATTCTGTTGTTTCCTTTGTTGTGCAGAAGGTTTTTAGTATGATATAGTCCTACTTGTCTATTTATGTTTTTGTTGCCTATGCTTTTGTTGTCATAGCTATGAAATCATTGCCTTGGCATTGTCTTCTGGCTATGACTCTGGGAGGATAGCACTGTAGCAAATGCTTTGCTGGTTTTAAGATAGAGCTGGTTTTAAGATAGCCTCCAATGTCATGGAATTTTTCCCCTATATTTTCTTCTAGGAGTTTTATAGTTTTTGGTCTTATATTGTCTTTAATCCATTTTGAGTTGATTTTGTGTATAGTGTAAGATAAGATTCCAGTTTTTTTATTCTTTTGTGTATTGGTATCTGGTTTTCCCAACACCATTTGTGGAGGAGACCATCCTTTCTCAATGGTGTATTTTTGACATTCTTGTGGAAGATCAGTTAATTGTATATGCACGGATTTATTTTGGGGCTCTCTCTTCTGTTACTTGACCTCTGCTTTGAAGTCCATTTCTATAGAAGTAACCAAGAATAAAGAATAGATGGAGAGGACTGAACTCAAAGTTGAGCGTACGCTCTTTCAAGACTCAAGTTTGAAAGATCATACAGTGTATGAAATATTTGTGAGTGTGCAGAATGAACTTTATGGATAAGCAACTATGCTAATTGTGTTTTCAGTTGTCTTCAGACATCTTCCCACTACCCCACTGCTAAAGAATTAAATTTAATGGAGTGCTACAAATGAAATTCTTACAATTATTGTTAACAAATTGTTAAGTTGCTGCTGTTTTAGTTTATGAAAAAAATTGTGGCAACTAATAACAACAGATACATACAGTACTTAATATGTGACAGACCCTCTTCTAAACACTTTATATATTCACTTAAACCTCATAGAATCCCATAAGGTAAATGATTATATCATCCTCATTATACAGTTGAGGAAACAGAGGAGATGAGAGAATTTTCCTAAGTGGGATGAACACAGAGCTGAGCTTGGCTTCCAGGCCACATGGCCCTGGAGTCTGTGCTCTACACTAGGGGACAGCAAACTTTGTAAAGGGTCAGTTGGTAAATATAATAGGCTTTGTGCGCCATATAGTCTCTGTAGCAACTACGCAATTCTGCCATTGTAGCATGCAAGCATACATAGACAATGCACAAATGAATGGGTGTGGCTATGTTTCAAAGCAATTTTATTTACAGACACTGAAATTTGAATTTCATATAATTTTCACATATCATGAAACATTATTCTTCATTTTATTTTTTTCAACTATTAAAATATGTACATATCATTCTTAGCTCCCGTTATACAAAAACAAGCAGTGGGCCAGATTTGGCCCTTGAGTAGTAGTTTGCCAACCACTGCTGAAAACCCCTCTAGGATTCTGGCTATGACCCCAGGAGAAGAGCACCTTAGCAAATGCTTTGCTGGTTTTAGGATAGGGCTGTGGGTAGCAGTGCCTGAGTCACACTTAGAAATGATGACCTCCCTGGGATAGGATCTGATGTATAAAATGACTTCTTCAAAGTCTTTCCTGTAGTCCAGTGAGATGACCTTTTGGGACACTGTGAATCCCTGACTTATCAATCACATCCTGTGTAGTAGTAGCTAGATGACATGTTCAGTGACAAAGCTGGATGTAAAGCCAGCTTTGAATGTTTATCCATGTATCATGGATTACTTTATTCATAGGCTGAGTATTGTCGAACCCCCCAAAATCAAGAACATGTACTCGATAAGAATTCTACAAAAATAGAAGTAATACAGGCAATTTATTTTTATGGTTTTGACATTCATTCCAAAGGAAGGGGTGAAGATGAAGGGAGAAATAAACAACTTTTCCAAGTTCTTGGTATGTGCCAAGTGCCAAGATACCTCATTATGGTACTGCACTTAAAGAACATCACCTTCAAAAGGAGATGTAATTACCCACATTTCATAGATGAGGAAATTGAGACATAAGTAACTTTCCCAAGGCTATTACCATGTCTTTGACCTCTGATCTACCTAACTCTAAAGCATGGGCATTTTTAAAAAAACATGAAAAACTACAAAGATATTAAAGCAAACTCACATTTTCCCCCCTCATTGTACTGCTTCCTGAGGAAATGGGGCAGTGGAGGGGCTGCAGAAAATGAATGTTTAGAGGTAGAAAAACTGTCCAAAGTCATATGAGTCACCCTTGGGCAAGACCACACAAATCATCAAGGAGCGATGCTTACTTACTTCCTCCATTTCTAAATATAACCTAGAGAAAGAGAGTCCACTCCTTGTGTCTACTTTGATTTTGAACCCAATAAAAACCTCAGTGGAATCAGAATCCATTCTTACCCTTATATGTTCAGAATACAGAGTCCTAGATACGGGTGTTGCAATCCTCAAGCCATTTAAAGAAACTCAGCAAAATAACACCCAAGCTATATAGTTGGAAGAGGGATTCCTAACTTCTATGGACAGTGTGGGGACTAAAATACTGTGTTATTTGTTTTAATTTGCTAATATCTAGAAAAAGACTACAGAAATTAAGCAGCCATACCACAATGGTTGAGGGGTGTGGCAGCAATATGGGTTAGGGTGAGAGCTATGTGAGGTTTATAGATAGGCTATGGATCATAGTCATTTTGACGTCAATGCAATCACAGATAACCTTTGCCATCTTCTCCAGCCATGTTGTTTTATGAAAAAGATGAAAGAGCTGAGAGAGGATGGGAGTAGGTAAATGACTGGCCCAAGATCTTGAAGGGCTGTCCTAGCCTGATATAAATATTTCACTCTTTCCAATTTAAGTTATAGCATTAGCTGAAAATGTCTCTCAGAGAGAATCTTGTTCTTTTGTGCTTTACCGTCCCCAATCCACCTTTATTCTATTTTCAAGACTAAAGGCTGTGTGAACACTCTCTTTGTTCCTGGAAAAAATTTAATATAAAGTACTGCATAGATTCCAGTTGTGTAATGAATGAGTCACAGGGATGAAAGGGACAGTTTAGCAAATAGAGTCAGTGGTATTGTAATAGTGTTGTATGTGACAGATGGAGGCTACACTATGGTGAGCATAGCATAGTGTATAGAGTTGTACCCACACTATGTTGTATGCCTGAAATGAATGTAACACTGCGTGTCAACTATAATTTGATAAAAAGGAAATAAAGAATTGCATAGAGCATCCAGGTGGAACTTCTCTGCTGAAGTAAAGGGTGAAGGAGACCTTCCAGCTCACTAACTGAAGTTGCTTCACTATTTCCTGCATTTGAATTAACCCCAGGTCTAATGTATCAGGAAGAAATGAGCAACAACATTTACCAGATTAAGGTCTCCACTTTTTTTAACTCTGATCTTGGTGTGTTACGTCATGATTTAAAGACCTTTGCTTTAGAGAGAGCTCAGATCTCAAAAAATATAGGAATGATTGATAACAACATGGGGAACCCATAAATACTATCTCCATTTTCTTAAGATTGTTGGGGAAAGATATGAAGATTAGGATCTTCACTTGGGAATCACAGACACCCTTCTCTAACTGCCCAGAATAAGAGCTCAATTAATCAAGTAACTGTAAATATTTTTAAGTGAGAGTAAAACTTCCATCATTGATGTTTTAGTGCTTGCTTGTAAAGTGTTTAGTGGGTTCCTGGCACATTTTAGGTGATAATGAATTGTTAACCACAGTTGTCCTATAAATAGTCTTTTTGTTGATTTTTTTTTCATGCAGAAGTTTTCTAGTTTGATGTAGTCCAACTTATTTTTTATTGTGTTGCTTGTATTTTAGGTGTCATACCCAAAAATTCATTACCAAGACCCATGTCAAGGAGCTTTATTCCTGTTTTCTTCTAGGAGTTTCATGATCTGAGGTCTTTACACGTAAGTCTTTAATCTATTTTGAGTTAATTTTTGTGAGTGGTGTAAGATATGGGTCCTGTTTCATTCTTTTACATGTGAATATCCAATTATCCCTGCACCATTTATTGAAGAGACTGTCTTTTCTCTATTGAGTATTCTTAGCTCCCTTGTCAAATACTAGTTGATTTGTATATGCTTGGGTTTTCTGTTCCATTGGTCTGTTTGTCTGTTTTATACCAGCACCATACTGTTGTTATGATTAAAGCTTCATAGTATAACTTGAAATCAGTAAGTGTGATACCTTCTCTTTTTCCTTCTTTCTCAGGATTTCTTTGGCTATTCAGGCTATTTGGCTTTTGTAGTTCTAAATTAATTTTAGCAGTGTTTTTTCTACTTCTGTAAAAAAATGCTATTGGAATCTTGATAGGGATTGCATTGAGTCTATAGAGGAATTTTGATAATATTGACATTTTAACAGCATTAATTCTTCCAATCCACGATTATAGGATTTTTTCCCATTTATTTGTGTCTCCTTCAATTCTTTCATCAGTGTTTTGTTTTCTGAGTAGACATCTTTCATCTTTGTAGTTAAAGTTACTTCTAAGTGTTTAATTGTTTTTTTGATGCTATTGCAAATGGTATAGATTTATTTTTCTTAGAAAATATGTTAGTAATGTACAGAAATGCTACTCATTTTTGTATATTAATTTTGTATGACGTAACTTCACTGAATTCATTGCTTAGATCTAATAGTTTTTTGGTTGAGTCTTTAGGATTTTATATATATAAAATCATATCATCTGCGAATAGAGACAATTTTACTTCTTCCTTTCCAATTCTAATATGTTGTATTTCTTTTTCTTGAATGATTGCTCTAGCTAGGACTTTTAGTACTATGCTAATTCAATAGGAATGGTGAGAATGGATACCCCTGTCTTTTGCCTGTATGCCTTTTTTAAATCCCAATTTAAAAAAAATGAGCATGTGACCTACTTCTGGCAGTAAGATTAAAAGGGAAGTCATATGGGGGGGAATCTAGGAAATGTTTGTTTGCTTTTAAGAAAGTGATATAAGTAGAAATGGTTGTCTGGAATTGTTATATCTGTTTTATTGTTATTCTGAATATAAATCTACCAACAGGCTCTCAGGACACGTAAAGAGACCACTGAATTACTGCATTTGTAAAGTTTCCATACTTCGTCATGATCTCATGGTTTGTGAGACTGAGCCCCCTGTCGGACTCTGCACTTACAGCACAGAGCCTGCTTGGGATTCTCTCTCTCCTTGTCCCTCCCTAACTTGCGTGCACTCTCTCTCCCTCTCTCAAAAAAAAATAAAGTTGCCATACTTCTGAGTCAGTATTTAATTTTACAGTGCAGAAACATCTTCCCTAAAAAACAGAATATTTCTTGGGGCGCCTGGGTGGCTCAGTCGGTTAAGCGTCCGACTTCAGCCAGGTCACGATCTTGCGGTCCGTGAGTTTGAGCCCTGCGTCGGGCTCTGGGCTGATGGCTCAGAGCCTGGAGCCTGCTTCCGATTCTGTCTCCCTCTCTCTCTGCCCCTCCCCCGTTCATGCTCTGTCTCTCTCTGTCTCAAAAATAAATAAACGTTAAAAAAAAAAATAAAAAAAAAAACCAGAATATTTCTAAAGCATAATTTTATTTTTGAAGTTTTGGCAAGTTATCTTAACTACATATCTATTGAAAAACCCATATTAGTCCTAGGAATTAGTCTATTAATTAGAATTATTTTTGAAATATAGAGAAAATTTTCTTTTTATAAAATCAGGGTAATTTAGGTATCATTTATGAACAGAATTATTCCACTTTTTAATTATATTGTTTTCTAACAGATGTATAGTGCTTTATGGATTAGTCTTTATGCCCATTTACTATGTTAAAAAATATTATGAGGGCATTGTCCCAAAGAAAATTTTTCTGGAAGTGGAGTAAACTCTATCTTTTTATATTTGTAGCTCCAAATTAACTTTAAAGGAGCTGTGAAGCAATCTGTAGAGATACAGATAGGAGTCCAACTAAGGTCAGTATCTTGAGTGCCCTAAAATGCTCCTTACACAGCCATATTATTTTGCCTGTCATTTTGATTTACAATAATGTAGGATTTTCCTGGTTTTTGAGCTGAAAGTTCTTAGTTCTGAGAAACTCTCCAGTCCTGGGCAAACCACATTAGTTGGTCACTCTAGCAAGGTTTCTCAGCCTTGGAACTATTGGCATGGTGGGACACCAACATAATTTGTTGTTTTGGGGGACTGTCCTTTTGCTTTGTAGGATGTTTGCAGCATCCATAGCTTCTACCCACTAGATACCAGTTAATACTTCCCACCATTGGTTGTCGCAATCAAAAAATGTCTCCAGACATTGCCAAACGTACCTATGGGGCAAAATCACCCAGGATAAGAACCACTGACCTAGGTGCAAATGCCCTTACAACTTACAAACTGGAAACTCAAAATCTTATTCTTTGTTGCTATGGTAAAGCAAAAACAAGCTGATTCTGCTATTTTTACACAGGATTCTGAGGAATTGCTTCTAGATTCTCTTTTGGGAGATTCTCCCTCCACCCTCCCAACCACACTTTAATTTAAAAAAAATTTTTATTTATTTATTTATTATAATTTTTTAACATTTATTTATTTTTGAGAGACAGAGCATGAGCAGAGGAGGGGCAGAGAGAGAGGAAGACACAGAGAGAGAGGGAGACACAGAACCCAAAGCAGGCTCCTGGCTCTGAGCTGTCAACACAGAGGTCGACACGGAGCTGGAACCCATGAGCAGTGAGATCATAACTTGAGCCGAAGTCAGATGCTTAATCAACTGAGCCATCCAGGCACCTCACAAACACACACTTTTTAAACATTGCAAGTGACTTGAACAAGTATTCTAGGTGCTGCCAGTGTGGACTGTGTCCTGCAGTCCACAGGCTGCTTTTGTTGCTTCTTTGTGAAAATTTCAACTCTACAACTTGACATTTTTTACCCATTGGAAATTTTATTTTTACAAGTTGTAACAACTCATGTATATCTCTGTATGTATGTCTATTTATGTCCATATCTACATATATAAACATGACTGTCCACTGTATCACTTTTAACTTTAATCTTTCCTGATCGTAATTGCCCATCCTGCCCGTTTTGCTTAATTTATGTTTTTCTGCTTTTTGCCCCTCTCTTCATTTCCAGCCTCGCTTTACCCCTTTCCCATTCTGTTTTCTTGGAAACAGACTGCAGCCAGGTTTAGTTTCAGTTGAATCTGGCAGAGTGTCAGACAGTGATAGTATTTGTAGGAGTTTTATGTCTTGACTAATATTCTTGGTATTCCTTCCATAGTTCTTTATTATTTATTTTTAATTGGGTCTTTACTGTTTTTTCCCCCTGATTAATTTGTAAATGCCACTCTACTTTTCAATTTTTAGCACTTATGATTAGACATCAATTTCTTTATTTTTTGAAACATGATAACCAATATTTCCCCCACCAGAATACTCACCTTCCTCACTCTTTTCCCCAGTAAGGTGAGATCTTTAGAATAATTTATCATCCTTGCTCTGCACCCAGCCTCCTCTGGTCCCATTTGTAATGCTTGTATTTCTTTCCTATCCCAACCACCTGCTACTAGGAATTGCTGAGTACCTTTACTGCTTTCCATTCATGACTGTGGTTAGAATATCTCTGGCACCGTGTCTCTTCTTTTTCAGTGCTCTTTGTTTTTATTTATTTTCCATATCCTCAGTTTCTCATTATTAATTTATATTGAACTATTTAAAGACAGTTAACTTGGAAGATTCATTGCACATTACTCTTTTCCTTTCTTCTCCACATGCTCTTAGCTTGAGTACTCTGGTTCACATTCATTTGTTGTTGGAAATCTTTCCTCAAATCAGATGTATTTTCTAAATTTTTGCATATCCGCAAATCTATGGTCATCATGGGGTAGTTGGAATACAGTTCTTATTTCTCACTGGTCGGTGGATGCCATTCTATCTCCATTTTAAAATTAAAATTTTTTTTTAAATTTTAGTTTTTAAATTCCAGTGTATGTAACATACATTGTTATATGAGTTTCAGGTATACAATATAGTGATTCAATAGTTCGTACATTACTCAGCGCTCATCATGATAAGTGTACTCTTAATCCCCATCACCTATCACCTATTTTACTCATCCCCCCCCTCTCTCCCCTCTGGTAACCATCAATTTGTTCTCTATAGTTAAGAATCTGTTTTTTGGTTTGTCTCTCTTGTTTTTTCTGGGTTCATTTGTTTTGTTTCTTAAATTTCACATATGAGTGAAATTATATGGTGTTTGTCTTTCTCCGTGTGACTTACTTCATTTAGCATTATACTCTCTAGCTCCAACCATGTCATTTGTCATTGCGAATGGCAATATGTTATACTTTTTTATGCCTGCCACTACACACACACACACACACACACACACACACACACACACACACACACATCACATCTTTATCCATTCATCAATCAGTGGACACTTGGGCTGCTTCCATATCTTGGCTATTGTAAGTAATGCTGCAGTAATCATAGGGGTACAAATACCTTTCTGAATTAGTATATTTGTATTTGGGTAAATACCCAATAGTAGAATAGATCATGTGGTAGTTTTATTTTTAACTTTTGGAAGAACCTCCATACTGTTTTCCACAGTGGCTGCACCAGTTTGCATTCCCACCAACAGTGCATGAGGGTTCCTTTTTCTCCATATCCTCGCCAACACCTGTTATTTCTTGTGTTTTTTATTTTAGCCATTCTGTTTTTAATTTTTTTTAACATTTACTTATTTTTGAGAGACAGAGAGAGACAAAGAATGAGCAGGGAAGGGGCACAGAGAGAGGGAGACACAGAATCTGAAGCAGGATCCAGACTTAGCTGTCAGCACAGAGCCCAACACGGGGCTCGAACTTACAAACTGCAAGTTCATGACTTAAGCCAAAGTTGAACGCTTAACCGACAGCCACCCAGGCACCCCTTATTTTAGCCATTCT